TTCTACTCTGTGGTGGCTCTGAATTCTATTCATAGATATTCTACTTTTTTTTCCCTTCTGTTTTATGTACTTAAATCTCTTCTTTAAATGGATCTAGTTCCATTGATCGGAATCATTGGCCCAGATCCCCTTACTGCTCTGTTGCAAAATGCAAGTTCAGTGTGGGACTCAATCTGTATTCTGTTAATTTTACAGAGTTGTACCCTATGTCCCACCATTGTCTGAGGAAGACTTTAAGATTTCCCTGGGTATTTGAGTCAAAATGTAAACATTTTAAACTGAATACCCCCAAACTGTACTTTGATTGGATTGTGTTAGGTCAGGTGTATTCCTATGAACCACTCATCTGTGGCCAGGTAGACAGGGTATTGGGATGGCCCCATCTGGCCTCAGGTGTCTGCCCTTCTAGAGTACGACTGCTTGCAGAGAGGGAAATTGTGAGCCACTCAGACTGATTATGGTTGACTACAGTAACTTAATCCAGAGCAAGCTACAGCTCAGGAATTTTTGAAATAAACTTATTTCTTCATACAGATAGATTTTCTAACTTAGCTTAGGCCAGATTTGACTGTAAAAGTCGAAACTCCCTAGCGTGACACCTAGATTCTTTCATAGACTGGACTTAGCCTATCTTCATTACCTTTACATTTTTAACTCTTGCCACTCCCTGCCTTACAGCTTTAAGGACTTAAGCCCTAAGCTTGGAGCTACCAAGTGGCTTAGATTTTAGATAATGGGAACTGGCAGCCTGAGAGGGTTAAATCAACATGTAAACAAAAGATGTGCATATCGGCACGTGTGTGCATGTGTGCATTTGTGTGTGTGTGTGTGTGTGTGTGTGTGTGTGTGTGTACGCATGCATGTGGTGGGTAGGGAACAAATAGTAGGAGCATTTCAGTTTTTCAGTTCCTGTGTCCAGGCATTCTCAGGGCCGTTCTATCACTGATTTTTCTGGGATTATGTTATGTGAGCAATGAATTATCCATAAATTGAATTTCTGCCCCTTGCAGTTGAGAACACTCAGTAGCAGAAGTTTCTGTCAGCCCAGCATTTGCAGTGTACTTTTTGAACCAACTTATTCCAGAACTATCGTGGCCATCTCTTAGCCAAACTCAGACTTTCCTCCTCTGTGGTTTTACTTAAGAAGCTACGCCTTCTCTGCTTTCCTTTTCCTCTAGGCCCAACTTATGTCCCTCCTCTTTTGTGATGCTTCCTCTGATTTCGGCAGCTCACCATGATCTTTTTCCTCTCTGAATTCCTGCAGTAATTTAGAACTATGGCAGTGGTTCACACAGGCTTACAAGTTGCATTTTAGTATTAATTGATTGAGAAAATCCATAATAAAAAAAAACGACTACTGTATGAGTAAAGTCTTTAAAAGAATTGGTCTTTTATTACCCAGAACAGCATCTTTATACTTTTGAAATATGGTAGTAAATTTAATATATGGAATGATTTACATATGTATTTGTGGTTTCTTTCCAATTCCTCTGTGGCTCATAGGGAGAGGTCCATGGCCTCCCACACCTAGACGGAAAGGAGAGAAGAGGTTTGGCTTCCAAATGAGCACCCTCTTTAAATAAAACACCATGGGATGTGTGGTTTGATTTTAACAAAGACTACTGGTCTGAACAGTGTGAATCTAAGTTATTCTTATTAAACATTTCACTTAAGTATTTAGGAACATAAAATTAAGTATGGATTGGGAGTTTGGGATTGACATGTACACACTGCTATATTTAAAATAAATAACCAACAAGAACCTACTGTAAAAAACAATTATAAAATAAGGATACAGCCAAAGCTAAAAAAATACAAGCACATTTCCTTATAGATTTCACAAGTTGTAAAACCAAAACCAATGAGAAAATATTAAATGTGAACAACAGAATTGATAAAATTAGAAGGAACAACATTGAGTTACGTTTCCAATGATACTGTATTGTTGAAATTACATTGCCAGTATTGGGTTTAAGAGTAAAAGATGTAGCCTCAGATTTTTTTCTTTAATCTGTTTCTGTGTTTTATATTAATGTAGAAAGTGTCCTTTTAAAATGTAGATTAAAAAATTAACTTAAAGGCTTTGTTTGCTGGTTCAGGGTAATCAGACTTCACACATCATGAAAACTCTACCAGTAAATAATCTTCAAATGTCAGTTTTAATGAAGTATCACCTGAGAACTTGATAACATCTTTTTGTTCTCTTAAAGATGTGATTAGAACTGTGAAGTTCTTGAATTATAAATCAAATCTGTAAGCCATACCCAAAGACTCCAGGAGTGGAGAACATATTGTATAGGAACAGAGAGATGGGATGCATGCATCACCTTCACTCTCAACATGATGGTGATTTTTAACCACTGTAGCACAGGTATTTTTGGATGCCTCTGCTAGCAAGGCAGAGTGTTCTATAATGTGTTCTATTATGTGTTCTATAATGACTCAATTCATCCTCACCTTTTTTCCTAATCAGACTTTACTTATTTAGCAAACTGTACGTTATTTGGCCTTCACCTAATGCACGCATGATTGAGAACAGCAACAGCAGATGCCAGAATGAAAATTTGTTGATGGTATTTAGTTTTAAGATGCTTCTTCAGCTATTAATTAGAATACATATGTATATGTATTTTATTTTTTTAGATTATCATTCCAGTGAAGACCCAAAATGGAAGAAATAATTCCACAGCAGGCTCATAGATCTCAGTTTGAAGTACACAGTCTCAAGTACTAATTGCCACTTAAAACATTTTACATCTTACTCTGTGTCGTGTGTCATTCGTTAGATTGTAAGCCCCTTGAAGGCAGAGAGAACTTGGTTACTGTTTTTTGTTTCCTCCCACATCATTAAGGGCATTTCTGATAGTTGGTGCCCAACAGGTATTTGCTGATCGATCAACTATTCGTATGTCATTATTTCCTACTGCACTTGCGAGCTCCTTGAGAGCAGGGAATGTTTTGTTTTCATCTGTGGACTCCAAATTCCTAGCACAGCGACTCTCACATGAGAAATGCTCAATAAATTGTTCTGAAAGAAAGAATGGATGAGTTATTGGCTCTGTGTGTGTGTGTGTGTGTGTGTGTGTGTGTGTTTGTTAGAGTTCATCTTTCACATACAAGGCATCTCTCACAGCTGTATAGATCAGTGCTTTTCAATAGAAATATTCTCTGTGTCTGTTAAGCACTTGAAATGTAGGGAGTAAGGCTGAGAGCCTGCATTTACTCTTATTTAATTTTATACATATAATATACAGTGGTACCTCCTTATTCATGGTTTCACTTTCTGTGATTTCAGTTACCCATGGTCAACCATGGTCTGAAAATATTAAATGGAAAATTCCAGAAATACACAGTTCACAAGTTTTAAATTACATGGTATTGTGAGCAGTGTGATGAAATCTCTTGCTGCCCCGCTCTGTCCTGCCTGGGATGTGAATCGTCCCTTTGTCCAGTGTATCCACACTATACATGCTACTGATCTGTTCGTCACTTAGTAGGTCTCTTGGTTATCAGACTGACTGTCTCAGTATCTCAGTGCTTGTATTCAAGTAATCCTTATTTTACTTAATAATGGCCACAAAGTGCAAGAGTAGTGATGCTGGCAGTTTGGATATTCTGTTACTGTGCCTAATTTATAAATTAAACAGTCATAGGTATGTATAGGGATATATTCTAAGACCCTCAGGGGATGCCTGAAACCACGGATTGTACCAACCCTATATACACTATGTTTTTCCATATACATATATATATATATATATATATATATATATGTATATACATATATATATATATATATATATATATATATGTATATGGAAAAACATAGTGTATATAGGGTTGGTACAATCCGTGGTTTCAGGCATCCCCTGAGGGTCTTAGAATATATCCCCTGCAGATAAGGGGGCGGGGGGGGGGTGCTGGTGGAGCGGAGGGCTATCATATGGCCAGTAGGCAGCCTAGGTTCAGATATAATGCCTCCATTCTCAGACTCATTTGCTCACATCTCCAACACAGCTACATTGTTTGGTTGTACTTGGATGTTGCTATTGAATATTGTTGTTATTTGTATCACTTTAAACATGGAGCAATGTATTCCATCAGTTTGGTTTCATTCTTTTTCCAAATGCCCGACACTGCATGTCATATCTTCACTCATGCCACCATCTGATTTGGTTTTTCATCATTTCCTTGTTAGTCTAGAGGCCTGACACTGACCACTTTACCAGATAAATTTTACATTCACTTTTTTTTTAATGGCCCAGGTTTCCTTGTGTTTGCTAGTCCAACTGTTTTAATCCTTTCTTTCCTAATAAGCCATTTAAACTCGGATTAGCTACATCATCATCATCATCATCATCTAAAATGTTGTTTATGCTGTGCTAGCCTTTATTTGGTGTAGTAATGTATGCTGATATTCTGAACAGATTTTGAGTTTACTGTTTTCTTAAAAATGTCTTTGAATATTCCTTCTCTTCTCTTGATTTCTTTGCTTTTCTTGTTCTTTTACCCTTTCTGGTATAGGAGAAGTATGAAGGAGTATCCTATTCATTTAAACATATTATAACTCAATCCATATGTAAGACGTAATCCCACCATAACAAGTTTTACAGCTGGTGTCGAAATGCATGAAATAAGTACAACAGGATTTTCTATTTAGAATGGCAGGAATTACTTCCAATAAGTGGCCAAAATCTTTTATGCTACTTCGGGCACTTCCAGAGCAAGACTTAGATTAAAATCCATCATGCATTTATTGAGGCTCAGTATTGGGTGTATTCACGTGTATTGTCTCATTTAATTCTTTCAAGAACGTTTAACCTAGTAATATGTAATGGTTATAGAGACTTAATATTCAAATAAATTGAAATAAATTCTGCTGACAAGCAGAAACACTTTAGGATATTTCCCACGCATCCTCTACTGCTGGGGATTTTTAAAAAAATATTTGTTTATTTATTTGGCTGCACCAGGTTTTAGTTGTGGCATGTGGGATCTAGTTCCCTAACCAGGGATCGAACCTGGGCCCCCTGCATTGGGAGTGCAATGTCTTAACTGTTGGACCACCAGGGAAGTCCCCTGCTGGAGATTTAATAGTTGTCTTATATGGCAGAATTTGAATGCACAGACTTTGGCATGGGACTTCTTGCTTTTTGTTCATTTTTTTAGTCTGGAGTAGTAGTTCCCAAACTTCAGTGTGCATCAGAATTTCTTTTCAGGGATGCACACAAACTATATGTTATGCCTGAGTTAACCTCTTTTCCAAGGTAGTTTTGTTTTTATTAGATTTTCATCTTGGAATCTACTTTATTCTTACTACACAAAAGATCTATCTCCTTTGTATATTTTATTGATAATTTCCGCTTCCGTTCCAGCATAGGGCTACTCATTGAAAGAACTTGTAGGTATGCTTTTGAATAGATTTCACAAAATAGGAGAAAAATTCAGTAGCAATGTACAGAATTTTGCACTTGTGAATCGCCTGCTGTGCTTTGGTCTTATGATTGCTTTCATCTACCTCTTAATGGTGAGAACTGCTTTGTCACCTTCTCCCCCTAACCTTCCTGATAAACATTCTCCCAAAAGCCCAAATGATATGTATTATGCTAATTGCTCATTCTGAGCTGGTTGGGGGTGGAACGAAGGGAACATTCTTTTGTGACTTGTGCTTTAAATATAATTTTTAATCTACTTATATATTTGACCCAATTTTTAAAAGTTACCTACATTAAAATAAATATTTGAAGAGTTTAGCTTTGTAATGAAACAATAGTTGTTTGCTTTTATTTGTAAAGTTTGACAAAAGCCATTGCCAAACCTTGTGAGATAATTTGTTTACTAGAACATCCTTTTCGAATTACTACTTTTTCTCTATGAAAGCAAATGTAATAAGTTCAACTTAAATTATATTTTCCACAGCATAATGCTAAGACTACTCAAGCCAAATGGGAAAATGTAGGCCATGTGGAATGGGATCTCAGAATAATGGCAACAATTTTAATTTCTCTAGAATAGTAGCTCTGAAATATTCTTGTGTGAATTTACAATTTTCAAGTAACTATTGAAAGCACATTAAAATTTATTTCAGTTTTTCTTACATATCTTATAAACCCCATACTACATTTATCAGTTTTGCTTAAACAGCAAATAATCTTTTAAAGAAATTTACATAATAGAAACAAATATGTCGTATTTACTCATGTAGTTGCCATTGTCAGTGGTCTTCCTTCCTTTTATTCCTTCATTTTCTTTCATGCTTTTCACACCATTTCCATCTGGTGTCATCTTCCTTGTGCCTGAAGTGCTTCCTTTAACCTTTGTTGTAGCACAGGTCTGCTGGTGATGGATCCTTTCAGCTTTTGTGTATTTGGAAACATCTTTATTTCATATCTTCATTTTGTAAGATTTTTGTTAGATATAGAATTCCAGGTAGGCCTTTTTTTTCTTTTTGTGCTTTAATGATGTTACTCCACTGTGTTCTCACTTGCATTGTTTTTTATGAGAAATCTACTGTCATCCTTATTTTTGTTCCTCTTATATAAAACATGTCTTTACAGATTTTCCCATTGTCATTAGTTTTGATCAATTTGATTAGCATGTGTCTTGGTAAAGCTTTCTTCATGTGTCTTATGTTTTGGGTTCATTGAACTTCTTGGACCTGTGGGTTTATAATTTCCATGAAATCTGAAAAAACATTAGTCACCTCTTCAATTGTTTCTGGTTTCCCTTCTCTCCCTCCTCTCTTTCAGGAACTCCAGTTACTTGTACATTAGGATTATTGATACTTTTAAAATTGTTTAAATTAATTTTTCTTTGTGCATTTCATTTTGGATAGTTTTTATTGCTGTGTCTTTAAGTTCACTAACAGTAATCATGTTTAGTGTGTTTTTCATCTCATACATTATAGTTTTCATCTCTTGAAGTTTAATTCGGGTGTTTTAAAAATCTTCCATGTCACTATTTAATTGTTTTAAACATATGGAGTAGATTTATAATAACTGTTTTAATGACCTGGTCTGCAAATTCTAACATCATTTTCAGTTTTTGGTCAGTTTTTTGGTTGATTTTTCTCCTTGTTATGGGTTATATTTTCCTACTTCTTTGCATGCCTGGTAATTTTTGATGGATACCAGACATTGTGAATTTTACCTGATAGAGTGCTGGATATTTTTTTATATCCCTATAAATCTTCTTGAGCATTTTTTTTTTTTTTTTTAATGGGATGCAGTTAGTTACTTGGAAACAGTTTGATTCTTTCAGGTCTTGTTTTTAAGATTACTGTCTGAGTACTCTACCCTAAACCACATGAATTATCAGGTTTTCCAGTGTGGCTGGTAGGAATAGGCACAGTTCGCAGCCCTGCGTGGTTCTTTTCCTGGCCGTGGGTTGTTTTCTTATATACATACGCTGATCACTACTCTGCCAAATACCTGCAGGGGTATCTGCAGATTAGAGATCGCTCTCTGTTCAACTCTCCTCCCTCTGGTACTCTGTCCTGAGGTTTCTGGCTTCTCCGATTTACCTGATTTCTCAGATACATCTCTTCAATTCAGAGACTATGCTCTGCCTCAATTTTCCTTCCCAGAGCCATGGTCTGGAAGCTGGGTCAGTCATAGGGCTCACGTCATCAGTTTCCCATTTCTTAGGGTTCACCTTTTGTTTTTCATTTCTCATTGCCTGGTATCCAGTGTCTTGAAAACCATTGTACAGTTGTTTCATTTTTTTCCGGTAGGAGGGCAGTTCCCATCTCTTTACTCTCTTGATTTGAAGTGGGTGTCCTCCATTCATTTTCTCTTTCACGTAACATCTTATTGGTCAAGATAATTTTGGGGACTTCCCTGGTGGTCCAGTGGTTAAGAAGCCACCTTCCAATGTAGAGGATGCAGATTAGATCCCTGGTCAGGGATCCCACATACCGCGGGGAAGCTAAGCCTGCACACTCTAGAGCCCACGCACCACAACTAGAGAGCCCACATGCCGCAACTACTGAGCCCGCATGCTCTGGAGCCTGTGCGCCACAACTAGTGAGAAGCCCGCATGCCACAACGAAGATCCCATGTGCTGCATCACTAAGACCCAAGGCAGCAAAATAAATAAATGAATGAATGAATAAATAAAAAGACAACTTTGGACATACTATACATATTTAATACTCAATTTAATGCAGTTTATTGTGATACTCTTTCTACTTTTCAGTAGATTCCAAACTTTCTATAATGAATACTTTGTACTCTATTGTACATATTTTCAAAAGTTGTTTTAATAGTTATGTCCTACATTATGCTTGATAATGTTAGTCATTGCCCTAGCCATTCAAAACCATTCTTAAGGCAACCCAGTCAAAAATTAAGATCTTAAACTTGTTAAACATAATAATTTACATGCTTTTAAGTGGATAAAAATGCTACTGTAGGGAAGTACCATGTTTTGTTTTTTTAAGAAAGATTGAAGCCAAGAAGCTTTTAAATAATATAGTTTTGAATTTGTAGATCTGAATCATCATAAAACAGTCAATAAATTACTGTCTTATAAATTATATCACTTTTTATGGAGTTCCTCTTCATATTCATTTACGAGATTCAGTAGTTCATGGGTAGGCTTTTAGAATGTTCACATATGAAGCACAAGTGAACCATGTGCTGGTGAACTATTTTATTTTTAGTTTTTTCTAGTATTTGATAAAATATAGTACTGTGAACTAATATGAGAATAAAGTGTCAAAATTCAGGAGCATATCTTGCTATAGTGCATACTTGTTACTTCAAGAGTTTTCTGGCAGTAAGGGCACAATTGACTGTGTTAATTTAAAAGAATCTTTGAGGTAGTATAGTTCCATATGCTGTAGGAATATGTCAATGATTTTTTTAATTTTATAATTTGAGTTTTTAATGCAGTCTTTTGAAAGCTAGTTGTTAAGCATGGCAAGAAGACTAGAATTGCTTTAGAATTCTTAGGAAAATAATTTTGTAAGAACAGATTAAAATTAACTTTAACTTTCTTCAGCACTGTCATAAATACCAGCACGATGAAGCCAAAATTGTGGCAATGTTACATTGCTGTGTTTCCAATATTTAAGCATAAAGGTTAGGCCAGATTTATATTCCCTTGTAAAACTGAACCAAAATATAAATTATTTATAGAACTTTAAGAACAGAATCTTTAAAAAATTGAATACCACTCTGTGGTGGAGATCCGTAGTTGTCTCACAGTGTCCCCTTTCTCCATCATCCTCAGATGTAGAGCCCCTGAATTTTCACTGGGGACAGACCCCAACAGAATAAAGATGACACTTTTCAGCCTCCCTTGTGGATGAGAATTATTCCATGTGGCATATAGTTCTGGTCATTACAATGTATGCAGAAGTGACTTGTGTGACTTCCTGATGCCTTTTAAAGGCTGAGGGTGCTGCCTCCTTCCCCTTCTCACTTGCTGGGATGTGGATATGGAGGTGAACTTCCTTAGACCTTGCTGAAGAGGCCAGTGCTCTAAGGATGGCAGAACAACACGATTTGGGACAGTCATCATCACTGTCCCATAAGGCCTGGGACAGTGATGATGACTTCTCCAAGCAGAGCTGCCATAACAGCTTGGAGTTTCATATGAGTGAGGAAGAAACTTCTAGGCTGTCTAAGCCACTGTTATTTTGGGTCTTTGTCACATACCAGCAAAGTTATATACATTGTTCCCACAATTTTTTTTGTTTATAAGACTTGTAAGTAATTCCTTTGTTAAGCTGTAAACTTGAAAGGACCAAGTGGTCTTATATCATAGAGATCCAAACTTCTTCAAAGGACCTCATTTCAAAAAAAAAAAATTGGGCTATTTCAATGTTTATCAGCTGGAGAGGACAATACAATTAAACCCATCTGGCTCTTCTCTGAGAACCATAGATTTGAGGCACATGATCTTTATGTTGACTGTTGAAGAAAACAATGTTTGGGAAGAGAGAGAAAGCTTAATTTTTTAACTTGCTACTTTGCTCACAGTCACCAAATATTTTTTCCATTTTCCTGTATTTCATAGTTGTCAAATCCCAAAGTCCATTTTTCATTCCCCAGTGTGAATGGCTCCCT